ACTTCATGCGCATACTTGTACCCACTGGTCTAGCATGAAATCTGGTTGTAGTAGTTGATGGGTTGGCTTTAGCCACCGGTTTGAGATTTCCTTACTTTGGGTTTTCTTCTGTTTGGTTAGTGGTGTACTGTCGAGATAGGGGATTTCCTTACTTTGAAGAATGTGTTTTGTGGACTTTCTGTAACAATCCTACTCCTCTATACTTAGCTCTTCAACTGGTAATGACCTTACCTCTTCTATTGTCCTGATAGCTCTATAACTAAGAAAGTTCCTATTGTCACTATCACTTCTGATAGCGAGGATAATATTGTACTGGTATTACCTTTTAAGAGCAAGACCTTTTTCTCACATAATGTTGTGCAAGTGTGTAGAGAGTAATGATTCAACATATAGTATAGGAAAGAACATCAGTGACTGCATGAGGAGTCTGTACCGGAGTTCCTTGGACCTCACTATTTATACAGACACCTCACTCAACCATAATCCTGTGTGACCCATACCTTCACATCACCATATCCTATGATTCATAATTGTGAGCCATCATATAACAATAAGCTCCTATTACACACAAGTGCAAGTCATGTGAAAATCTTTATTCTATCTCCTTAATCTGCCTTGTTACAATCTGTTTTGTGACACTTTCAGTGTTTACCCTTGTAGATAGCCATGTGGGAAACTTGTAGTAGAGCTTTGTACACTGAGGGCTTGTTGGGTAGGGATAACTCAAGACAAGACCCATGCATGTTGAAGTCATAGAATCTGAAAATTGGGTGCCTGGTTGTTAATGTTAACCTTTCTTCATTTAATGTTTTTCTTCTGAGTGCAGGAAAACAAGTTGTCGTAGAGGTATTGAATCCGCATAGTAATGAGCTAGTAAAACCCTTCAACAGTATTGTACATAGAAACAGAGAAATAAATGGACCAGAAAAATCCAAAAAGAACACTCAGATACAGGATATAAATATTATAGTACCTCCTAAGCCTTTTAACACCATCAGGTAAAGGAGAAGAGATCTTAACAATATAATATTGTTCACACGATTCTATTCTGCTTTATGTTACGCTTAGTAGTCATAAATGAAATGAGTATAACTAGATCTTTCCTAGACAAATAGCTGTCTATGAAAATGAATCTCAATTGGCCCAGACCACTCTGAGTCTATAAAGCTCGCCTCTGTCTAACAGTTGTGCCCACTTTGTAAACTGATCTGACATCTGATTCTGATAGAAAAATTGTGTACTTGTGAACTCAATTTGGGATTATGTTGTATGATAATTCTTTGACAAATAGGTTCGAGTAAATCACCAGTAATAGATTTTTATTAATCAAAGAGTTTTTTTTTTGTTTTCTGGAAATATTTTTAGAGCGATTGATACAAGCCTAGCTGGCTAGAAGAACTGTGAATTACAATAACAGGTTTTTTTTTTTTTTTACTTACATAGATTGAATCTGGCCCACTTGGTTGTTGTAATATGAAGGGTTTCCAGTGCTTGAAGATATACTGAGAGTTGTAACAATCGCTCCTCGAATGGTTAGTTCTTGGCGTTGGGGAACGATACTTCTCTTCTTCTTCTGTTTCTTTCCTTTGTCTTATGATAGCACTAGGCCTCTGCCAACATTACCGATAGTACAAGACCTTTTTCTTCTATCGGCAACACCTAGCGTAAGCTTTCTCTAACTCTTCTTCATGAAGAGCTTTCCTCAGCATAACAATAAATGTTGCAAATAAAGATAAAGATGGTAAAAGGGTTTTATATTCATTAAAGTAATAAGTAGGAAAAGTACTTAGAATTCAATCTAATTTTATTTAAACTCGTACTACCAACACTGGCATACTATGAGCCCCCGCTGGCACAGGAAGACCGCTAACCAGTATGCCACTAATCCTAAGCTAACTAAGTCTACGGCCCTCTACCTGCGATGCACGAGTCATGCCTGCATGCGAACTAATTACAAGACCATCAAACAACCCAGCGCCTGCCCCAGTCCAAGTTCATAGCCCCTCTGGTATGAAGCCAACCAGCACTAAGTGTAGCCGAAGCTGAGCAAAAGACCGACCTGACCAGGTTCCTCGTCCAACAAACATAAAATCACTACCACCCGGTCTAAAAACCGTCCCACAAAACCTCCACCACAGTCGAAAACCAAACAAACACATAACCTAAACCTACAGGCGAAAATATGGCAGAGAGGAGGCAATCAACATGTTAACCTCTTGTACCTGCATGCCAGGCCGTCGACCCTATGAACCCACTTTGCCAGTTGCCTCTGGAGAGCGTACTGGTGAGGAGGACCTGTACCCGCTGCCTGTCCCACAAACCAAATATTATAAACAAAAGAAGTACATAGAGGTAGTAACAGACCAGAAAAGATCAGTGGGACCTATCTCCTACCTGTAGTGCCATGCCTCCGCCTGCCAAACCCGTAGCCAAACCAAAGAAACCAAACAAACCCCACAAAATCCAGCACGCAAGACCCAAACAGTCCAACCAGGTGGTCGCAACTCACTATCCACACAGGTGGCCATCAGCTAGCCGGTCCATTAGGGAGCTTACAGCATTCAGCAGCTTCACCCGACAGCCTATGCTAGACTGAAAACACTTAATTAGACCCCATCCAACCTGACCCATGCCCAACCAGTGCTCGCAGGTGCCTCTCTCCCTACAATCAGCACCCTCCAAGCCCCACACACCAGACGCCACAGAACCCATCCAGCCCCCCTAGCCCCTCAGACAGGTCAACCATCTGATAGTCACAGGACAGCCCATACCTAGTCCTGTCAGGCAGCTACTGACCTTGGCCACACCAACAGAGCCCCATCCCCCAGGGCCTTGCAGATGAGTGGGGCCCACCAGCCACAGCTGGGAGCCACAAAGGAGGCAGCACCAACACCCAAAGGCACTAGCACCAGCCACACCATCCAACCCAGCTGAACCAATGTCCAACCAAGCCGGGAAAGAGTTGGCAGAGCCAGCTAAAGCCAGCCCCACAGGTCCGGCAACAAGCACAGACCAAACAATGGGCAAGAGGCGCCTCCAACTGACACGACAAGAAGGAGCAGGGCGAGCGAACAGGAGTAGACAAATAGAAGGTAGGCCCTACTTGCAATGGGTGAAGCCGCCAACCAGAGACCACAACTGAACCACCTAAATGGACAGACAACGCGAGTGTCTGGCAGCCAATCGTCCCACACCACCCCAGGCAGCAATGTAAAACCACACCAGGGGATAAGAGTTTTCAGGGTCAAAGCTATCCCTACCAAAGTGAGGAGGAGACACCTGACTGAACCACTGTATATGCCACAAGGACAAAACTCTAAGGGAATGGTGATAAACAACATCGTAAGACTCCGACCGTAGAAACGAAAATGTAACAAAGAGGGGCTGGGCGGGTACCGCCCTCCCAACTGAAGAATGATGTGGCCGGTATAACAAGTTGATACTTGGGAAGGTCATCAGTCTAACCTAAGAGCTTTTTGTATTGTGAGAAGTAAGGACACTGTTAAAACCCAACAAGAAACATGAGCTGGCCTGAAGAACGACACGGGTGATCCCCCCAAACACAAAGTTCAATCTCCCCCAATCGAACGCGAAACCTGAGAGTAGACAATAGACAGGACGCCGAAGACATTTTACCGAAAGGGGCTAGTAAGTGACAGTGATGAAGAGCTTGAAGTGACAGCATCGTGAGAAGCTATCAGGCAACGAAATGAGAAGCAAACAAGTAATCCGTCACATAACACCTAACAAACCTCAACACCAAAGACCCTAGGAACTACTGAGCGAACTCAGATATCTCCCCCAGAATCCAAGACATCAAGGCCCACCATGGGTGTGAAAGAAATGCTGGGGATGAAGCGACAGCAAGGACAAGGAAAAGTACTTAGAACAAAGCGTGAAGAGCCTATCCTCCTCAGCTGTACCAGTCTCCTTATATAGTACTCTTCCCACCCTAAGTCATGGGACCTAAAGTGGTTACAGGCGCGCAAGTAAATTCTAACAAACAAATCATTTGACCAAATTGGTCCAATGTACAAAACCCATGACCTTGTAGTAAGGCCACGTACAAGAACCCATAAACTAATCATAACACAATAAATAAGTCATATGACCACAGTGGTCACATGCACAAAACCCATGACCTCAGAACGAGGTCATGTGCAGAACATAAATCATATGTGTAAGGCATATCCGCAAGGTACACTTGCAAGGCACACTTGCCAGGTATATGTCTCATGACTCATAATTGAGTCAGGTACGAAACATAATAAATCATAACATAATAAATCATATGACCTAAATGAGTCATGTGAAAACTTTTTCCGTGCCAAGTCACATTCGTGACAAGAGTGCTGAATATTTGTTTTACTATTGATTCTACTAACGATAGGAATATTAAAATCAATTCACAAATGTAGATAACTGATAAGTTACTTATATTTAATGGAATTTGTTATTACATTAATTATAAATATATTATTATATATTATATAATTTAAACTTTACTTAATAAATACATTTTTTTAAATCCGGTAGTTATCCTAGTTACAAAGATTGTAACCTAATCAAAATCATATCAGGAAGTGTTTGGCATGTCCTAATCTCAAATCATGATTTCGAGTCAACCTAATTTAGTTTTAAAAAATCTGATTTCAAATTGCCAAGACCTGATCTCAAATCATAATCAGGCCAAACACCCCCTTAGTTGGTACGCAGACGTGAGCAAACTTATTCGACACAAGCGTACTCGAGCACGGCACTTACACTTCTAACGAGCCGAATCAAGCAGTTTGTACTAGATGTCACAGCAACTATTGAACGTCTGAACCTTGCACCGCCCCTATACATCGATAGTATCATACAATAGTAGCACGCGACGCAGAACGGGAGCCTCATAAGACTATCCTGAGGATATCAATCTAAAAAAAAGGAAAAATAAATATTTAGAGTATAAGTATAACACGAATTGTTGTAAGCAATTACCGATCTGCCAGAGCATCCTATGCAGCTTTCTTTTTGAAAAAAGCTGTCAACTTAGGCATTCCCTTCTTGTCGACCATTTGCAGCTCCTTAGCAGCACGGCTAACATTTCTCTTCTTCTTTTCCACCGCCTCCACTTCCTTCTTCCTGCGTTTTCGATCAACAATCTCTTCGTTTGAGTGGCTTCGTTTGAGTGTATAGTCGTTGCGCGCTGCCGTTGCTTCCTGGCGAATTTTGACTAATTCCGCCAGATAATTGTCCAAAGGTGTGAAATCATGTGACTTCCGCAGACAATCAGAGAGCACTTCGGCGAGACAAACGGGTAGATAGCTATTTGATATGAACTCGCTTGCGACTCGTATGCGTAGGAGATCTGAAATCTCTAGTGAAGCCTCTGCGAGCCGGGGTTGTCTGGATTGAGAATCCGAAGGTGTAGGGAGAGCTGGGGATCCCATCCTAATAGCCTCTGTGCCGTCCACTCCCCCCCTCTCTCCGACATTATCCTCCAATTCCTTCACACTCCTAGCACCCTCCCTTTCCTCAGCCAATTCGGCCATAATCTCGGCCACCGGCCTAGCCAATGGCTTCCGAACAAACTCCTCCTCCATGGTGGCCGGCAATTCCCCTCTTGCCATCCGGACACATTTCCCATGCAAAACCTTCAAGAGCTTCTCCCGGGAAGGTTTGTAAGCCTTCCTACCACCAATATCCACACTCTCACAAACGGCGGCAAGTCTCCTCTCTGTAACCTGTGACTTGATGACGAATTCCCAATCCCCCTCCTCCCCTTTAGTAATCTCTTCAAGTAGATCGTCTACTGGCAGAAACATGTTAACCACATCGACTGCGCCGGTGGGGAATAACCGGGGTAAAAGCACGAAGAGCGGGTCCATAAGCGTGCAGATGTACATGCTGCCATCCTGAAGTATCTGACCATTTCTGAGCCATTTAGGCGGGCTGGATAGTTTAGACGGCGGGGTGAGGAGCCATGAGCGAGGTGTTGAGGTGGGCGCAGTGAGTTTGATGATTTCGTGTAGGCCATGAGTTGGGTGGACCAAGTAGCGGGTTGGCACGAGAGTGTGTGGGTGGGGGAGAGTAATGATTTTTAGGTCAGTAGAAGGGACCGTAGAAGGGAGGAGAATGATATGCGGTGGTTTATTTGGAGACATCGCAGGATTTTCGAATTGGGTTCGGAGCCATGTGCATGACAGTGACGCGTTACCATCACAGGGAGGACGCGCCGTAAAAAGGAAGAATCCGGTTGCGGTAAAAGTGGGTTCACTTTAGGTCACTCGAGTTTGGTTAAATGATGCTCTTGGCGTGCCTTACTTCGGAAATCTCTGACCCGGGTTCGGCTCTCTTCCACATGGCAAGTACTATACCCATCCTCTACTGATTACTAAACTGAATGGCGAGATGTGATCAGTGCAAATCCCCGCACAAACATCCCATGTGGCGGCTCTGGCCCCAAGCGTCCCAAAACCACACGTTGAGGAGGGCAAAGCCCTTTGTCTCAAGAACTGGACTGCTATTTGAGAGCCTAACCAACCCACCAACTCTGAGTAGTATTTGGGAGCAAATCACGCCAAGCCCTTGATTTGAAATCGACCGAAATTTCCTCCCTTTGTCCCTCACCCATATCACCAAATCTACACCTTCTCACTTCTCCACACAGATATTCAGGAAAGATGGCCCGTAGACCCGCTCGCTGCTACCGCTACTGCAAGAGTAAGTTTGATAACTTCTCTAAGGTTTCCTGGAGTGGCAGTAGGCTGGCCGCGGTCCTAGTTGGCTGGGAGGATCCGCTCCCTTGCGCTCCAACTGCTTCAAGACTATTGTGGGGGTTTGGAAGGATTTGGGGAATAGGTTCTGGTTACTAATACATTTTGTTTTCCAGACAAACCCTACCCCAAGTCACGCTTCAACCGTGGTGTTCCCGACCCCAAGATTCGTATCTTCGATTTGGGACGCAAGCGTGCCGGTGTTGACGAATTCCCCCTTTGCGTCCACTTGGTTTCTAACGAGTACGAACAACTTTCTTCTGAGGTATGAATTGTTCCTCGTCCAGTGATGATGTTAGAGGGTATTGGCATATTTGGTGCATATTTGGTGGTGGCCGGATGCTGATTTGGACTACGAATCAGGCCCTCGAAGCTGCCCGTATTTGCGCCAACAAGTATCTTGTCAAAATTGCTGGAAAGGATGGTTTCCACATGAGAGTCCGGTATGCCGTATGTTCCGGTTCGCTTCGTGGATTGTGCTAACGCACTCAAGTGCTCACCCCTTCCACGTTATTCGTATCAACAAGATGTTGTCTTGTGCTGGAGCCGATAGACTTCAAACTGGTATGCGTGGTGCTTGGGGTAAGCCTAACGGAACTGTCGCCCGTGTCAACATTGGTCAAATCATTCTGTCCGTGAGGACACGTGATACACACCGTGCGACCGCTATCGAGGCTCTGAGGAGGTCCCAATATAAGTATGTCACCCAGCATTTGATAGTATCTACAGAGCTAATATGTTCTTAGGTTCCCCGGTCGCCAAAAGATCATTGTCTCTAAGAACTGGGGCTTCACACCCCTTCGCCGCGATGAGTACCTTGAGAAGCGCCGGGCAGGTGGGGTCAAGGTTGACGGAGCATACGTTCAGTTCTTGAGGCCACATGGGCAGTTGGAGGACAACATGCGCAGGTTCCCTGAGGCATTTGCTGCTTAAATTCGTTAATAAGTGGGTTCGGGGTGGTGTTGTAAGTCTTTTGTATGTCATATAAGAACGTTCATGGCAAATATACGGAACTTGAGATTAAACTGAGGAGGGGAATTGTTGTATCTGTTTATTGATTATACGGCACCATGATGCTGCTGCGGCCTTGGAATGTACAGAGAGCTCTACCGGGACAGAAGAGACCAATAATAATATTATGAATGCCTGACACCCATGCTGACCCAAACTTAAATCCCACGGTTACTTATCTGCCCCTGGCGCCTTCCCCTCCTCTAGCTCGCCGATAAACCCCTCCAACCAAGTCCCCCCAACCTTTCCCCTTCGCTTGTTCCTGACTTCCTCCTTCCGCCTTTCCAGATCCAGCTTCCTCTTCCTCTTCTTTTTAGCCATTTCCCCCCTCTCCCTCTCTGTCCGCCTCCTCTCCTCCTCTAACTCCTGAAACTCCCTTTTCCTATCATCTTCATCCTTGCTAAACCGGTAAAACCCCACTCCCTTTGTGCGCACCTCGCTGCCGGCATCATAGTGTACTTCATCAACCCCCTCCTTCTCAATGGACATTGCCGTAGCGAGCATATCCGAAGTTGGAACTGAGGAGAAATTCGCCGTCTGGAAAGCCCCTGTTTGTATTCTTGGTCCATAGGAGATTGACTCCGGGGCCGGTTGTGCGGCGAGGTGGTGGTGGGCTTGGGAGGGGGGGATTTGTTGATCTTGCGCTCCCTGTCCGGCGCGGGCTTCGCGACGGAGCATGCGGGCGAGGGCCTTTGAAGAGATCCTTCGGGTGCGGCCCAGGTCGTCTGTGTGTTCTACCATTTCACCTCCCTCCTCCTCATCAGAGGAGGATGAGGAAGTACAAAACTCGGGCTCACCCTCTTCGACCCACTTTCTGTTAAAATCTACCAGCCCATCCTCCTCCACTCCATCTCCACCACCACCCTTCCGCAAGCGCTCGTAAACCCCTGCTTTAACAATCAACTTCTTCCGACTTCGGACCCATTCCTGCTCATCCGGATCGCCGCCCAGATCCCGGCTCGTCGGCCTACTAGCTTCGTCCCTCGCTGCGCGCGCCGCAACGCCACGGTTCGAAAGTGGCTTTTGCGATGGCCTCGTGCGAAACTGGCGTGGGCGGGTGCGTGCCAAAGCGAGTTCAGTTGCTAACGCATGAATGGAAGATTGGGAGAGGGGAATTGGGCTCTGTTTTGATTGGGACCCAGGGGCACCGTAAAGGGACATTATGTATTATTTTCTTTACGGCTGCAGCAGGTTTGGGGGATGTGGTGGGGCGGTGTGTAGGTGGGGAAGTACGGTGGTTGGGGTTGGGAGAATGGAGGCAGTGGTTGATAAGGCTCAGGTTTCGATACTACCGTATTTGCTCGGACAATGCACTACTCGTATCTCCGGGTGGCTGGCGATCATCCTGATTTGGGTTCGCTTAGTTTCAGCCAAGCAATCGAGTGATCTCCCATGATTGTTAGGTTCCGGATTGGGGACCTCAGGGCATGCTTCTGGTCTCTTTCAGCCCTATGAAATTTGTTAACAAATCTAGCTGCCTTCTATCTCAACCTGTAACCGTGCCAAGGTTCCTGCTGATTGTGGAACAGCGCGCTGTTCCAAATCTTACAGCACGTCTATGACGGCCTCTCAGCTCAACCTAAGATATCAGCTCAACATTAGATTTTCTATCTACAGAGATTTCAACCCCCTACCAGCCCCTCAAGAATCCTGTATCAATGCCTGAAAATTACAGCGATATCGAGTCCAAAATCGGAGATGCCTGTCAAAGGTTATTTGAATGTGATAAGCCAAATATTGTGGCCATGGCACATGAGTTTCAGGTTCCAGAAAGCAGTCAGCAGGCCTGGTGGAAGGGACGGCAATCGAAATCACAGCACCAACCATACAACAAACACCTCTCTGATGCTGAAGAGCTCGTAGTATGCATGTATTTAGAACGCTTAGATACAATTAGCACCTTTATGCCTATTCCTATGATCACAAATTGTGCCTTAAATGTAACAATCTGGCAAATAATCCGGAAACCACACCCCTAACTGTAGGACCTATGTAGACCCTTGGTTTCCTGAAAGGGACCCACAATATCTTGTTCGTAAACAGAAATCTCTTGACTAAAACCACAAGAACACGCACAATCCAGATAGCAAACTCAATTGGTATATAAGATATAAATCATTTTGTAAAGAAAGGGGTATTCAAAATTGTGATCAATGGAATTTTGTTGTGACTGGATTCGGAATAGGGATTGGAAAGAATCAATGGATCGTTATATTGGATCTTAATCGTCAAGTCTATTTTCCTAGTTCCAGTAAGGTGTTTCCCTAGGTTTTGAGTACCCAGCAGAGTAAGGAGGCAACACATCTACTACCTTACTTGAGTTTAGCAAAGTAAACTAGAAACACATAGTGATTAGTTGATTGAGGTAAGAAACAAGAAAAAAAGAAATAGCTGATAGGAGGTCAGCATTTTACACTTTGGTTGTGATGGGAAATATCCACTCAACAGTTGAAAATATGTGCTCAGCTTTTTTTTTTTCTGAGCCTACTATGTCCTACAAGGACTGGATGTCACTTGCAATTGAGCAATATTGTAGTGAGTACGAATTGTTTCAAGAATCTGCGCTATACTCTTGACCAATCATATCTGAACAATTGGGGGCCTATTCTGTGTCGTGTTGGTTAGGCAGAGACAACCTGTAAAGACTCAGAGTAATCTAGGCCAACCAACCAAGATTTGTTTGTGTAGATAGATATTGTCTAGGAAGGCTCAAAATACACTCCTTTCATCTACGACTACTAAGATTGAAGTGAAATATGTAAGGTAGAATAGAATTGTAAGAACAATATTATATTGTCATGGTCTCTTCTCTATTGCTTGATGATGTCTAAAAGCTTGAGAGGCATTTCAATATTTATATTCCATGTCTGAGTGTTTACAGACTACATCTATTTATTGTACAACTAGCTACCTCTCTGGTTATAACTTGCAACATCAGGTATTCTTCAAAAGTGCGAATACCTGAAGACCTCGAAAATGACCACACTGTCTTTGATAATTTTGATATTGTGAACTAGGAACTATACTGTTCCAAATAGTAATTATCTGATCTTCAGAGTCATTAGACTTATCATCTAGTTCTCAAGTTGACCTGAGTTGGCACCAATTGTCTTCCATATGAATGAAATAATCAGTTTCATCTGCAGATTGTATCTGCTGAGGTAGTCGTAATTTCAACCTTGCTAGGTCACTTGACTTTAAACCTCCCTAACTCCAAATCCAATCAATAGATATCTTCCAGATGGCTTCTTGCTAATTTACAGGAAGGTATTGTACCAGATTGACAGATAATCCAATTGTCCGCAACCCTTGGTTGCTCTGAGTAACCGGATATCAATCATCATTAGTTTGGAGAACTATGCCCACAGCCACCCTGCATTTTAGTGCTTAGTTGTAACACTCCATGAAGACAATTGGATTCTGTGGTAGTGTTCCTCCTAGTTCTAGACTCTTCTAGTTATCATAGGATGTGTGTGAATGTATTAGTTTCTCCTTGATATTCTTTAACATTTGATACCATCTCTTTGTGTAAAATCGTTCCGTTACCTATGGCCCTTGCCAAAGTTATCACAACTTTCATGCCTGTTATCTCCCAGGGTAGTTGACTGATTTACTCAATTCCACTTCCCATACCTATTTGAAGGACCAATCCCATAAATCCTGTGGACAGGATCTGGTCGGATTGACCACAGTGAGAAATATAGTGTTATGCTTAGACCTCCAATTTGGTGGCCTTTTAGTTACAGGACACGACTGTGAAAAATATGTATAATGATAGGCCCTGCAAGGGACTAGAGGGGGCAGTTGGAGACTAGAGATTCCAATTCTTAGTAGAGTTACTCTACTTAGTGTGGTTCTTAGGTATCAGATCCCGGTATTCCTAACAGTATTCACCTTTAAGCCATCATCTTCATGGATGTTATTCAAGATCTCTACTTGCACAAAAGACCTTGAAGATAGCTCTTGGAGAAGAAGAGGCAATTGAGGAGTGCTGTTTGACTTTTACTTCTTGGTAGAGTCACTTGGCAGAAGTATTCATGAAACCAGTCTCAGATGACTAATCTACCTCGCCAAAATGCCACCTTTCAATGAAGTGTAAAGTTGATCATGACTGTTTACTCCATCGCGACCGTGACTATTCACAAATCTACATCTACCAAAGCCTCCATTACCTAATTAATTAATTTATTAATTTCCTCTACCGTTCTTACCAATAGTTAAGTGTTCTGGAAATATGAAGTATGCCGTAAAAAAAAGACCTCCACCTAAAACCACACTGAGAGAAATGAGCCTTCCAGAGAAGGGCATGATAATCGCCTTTTTCTACTGCCTCTGAAATATTGCCTTGGTGGCTCAAATTATTAAACGCCCATGGACAACAGTTAAGAACTTTCTTATCTGGGCATCTTAATGCCAATTTCTTGAAAATGTTCCTCGCCCCAGTCGCACCCCCATTTTGAGTGGTCAACAGTATCGTACTATTATACAGGCAGCCAAGTCCAACTGGAAAATAACCAGATACACTTTCAGGGATCACTATGTACCCAGTATTTCTCTTGATACTGGTAACTCTTTGTGCTACCCAGAGTGACTGGATATGATTACCTACTAAATTTGCCTGTATAGTGGGCTGGATACTCACCGAAGCAAACATTAAGAAATGGATAGCCAAGTCAAGACCTAGGCTAAAGCCTGATCATGTAGTTAAGAGATTGAGATGGGCTACAGCTCATAGGAACTGGACAGCTAAGGATTTTGATAGGGTAATTTGGAGTGACAAGTACAGTGTGGAGAAATCTAAGGATCCAAAGCAACAATGGGTATTCAGAGAACCTGCAGAGAGGTGGTTGGCTGATTGTGTACACCCAAAGGAGAAGGATAAGGGAATCTTGCTTATGGTTTGGGGGTGCTTTTAGGGAAAAAGAAAAGGTCCATTAGTTCCTATTACTCAAACTATCAATAAGACCAGGTATGTTAGACTTTTAAGAAGATATCTTTTTCTTGTTATTCATCAAATGATTTCTTTTGGTATACAACTCAAAGGTATTCTTTTTCAGCAAGATAATGCTCCTATTCACAAGGTATATAGTGTTATGGATTAGTTGGAGAGAAATAGTATTGAGATTGTGAACTACCTCCCTTATTCCCCTGATTTAAATCCTATTGAGCATGTATGAGTTGAGCTTAAAAAGCGATTACACCAGCAGTATCCAAGGATTGCAGATACTTCAGGAGGAAATGAGGCTGTTAGAAGAAAACTTGCACTTGTATTACCATTAGTTTGGGAGACAATTTCTGAGGAGTCTTTTGACAAGGTGTGGAAATCAATGCCTGATAGGGTTGCTGCAGTTTTAGAAGTAAGGGGAGGTTTTACAAAATATTAGCTAGTTTAATTTATGGCAAGTCAATTGACCGTTGAATGTTGAGAGGTGCCATTGGTTGCTGATCGTAAACTTAAACACATATGCGTGCACGCCCGTCGACAATCCTACCTGCACTGCGGCACCATATAGCGCAACTGCAATTAAACATTGTCTCAGGTCACAAACAATTCTGCCAATTGACTGTATATGCCATAATGAGTATATATATTACACAATACGGTTGAACAACTTCTTCAAGGCAGGTTAGGAGTAGCAGTTTAACAATAAAGCCTGATAATCAATAACCAGAAAACCACTATGAGTAAGAACGAAGCAAAAGATTTTCTTGATAGACAGGCTAAGCTATAAAGTTTGTATTTATTCTACTTTGATAATTTACATCAATGATAATATTGTATTCGGTATTGGTAGATTACGGAAACAATTTACTGAAATTGAATTGATCCTGAAAACCTCTACAACATGGATGAGACTAGGATTCTGCTTGGATTTTGTAAGTCTGAAAAAGTTATTGTTGGAGCTGATAAGTTGCGAATCAATGGTGCCTTAAGGGTACAAGGTAAGAAAAAATACTCTTAACATAAGCAACCAATAATAAATATATACTATAATACCTGGTTCACAGGAATTAATTGTTGTTCTTGATTGAGCTTGCGCAGATGGAACCTTACTTGATCCAATAATTGTCTTTAAAGCTGCAGAGTTAAGAGAGGGTTACTTTGTTGAACAGGAGGATATTGCTTCCAATGTGCTGGTTGGGAAGAGTCATAATGGGTAGACAAATTGTATTAGCACTTGGATGGCCTGAGCGGAACTTTAGAGCAAACAGCCATTTGCCAGTAAAGGCTAATGGAAAATGGAGAATGCTCACACTGGATGGCCACTCAATAC